TGGTATGCGCCTCGTTGGCTATAATCATCTCATATTCAACAAGCGCAATTGGAATAATTGTTTTATTAAAATTAAAACACCCCCAAAATATAGAAAGTTAGACTAAAATAAAAATACAAATGCCTCAAAAAATCACGCGCACGCTTACCGTGTTTGTGGAGCATAATATAACCCATGATGGCTAAGCCAATGAAAACTCTCGAATTGCATAATCCAATGATCCAGTTTTTAACAGAATCGTATATACCCTGCGGAACCAAAAATAAAGGTCAATGTGCAAAACTCAAAGGGGAAAATTGAGGGAACGCTTAGTCTAATCACACATTGGAAGTGACAGAACTAAAACTAAATAAATTAATTAACTTTGTTTTACGGGGGTAACACACAAAAGTCTTACGACTGACAAACCCGTGGCCCACGAATTCCCAATCGAATTGGATTTTAGAGATGTTGATTTTTGTGGAGGGAGGAAAACTGGAGAACCGGGAGAAAAACCCTCGGAGCAAGGACGAGAACCAACAACAAACTCAACCCACTTATGACACCGGGTGCAGGGTTTGAATCCGGGCCACATTGGTGGGAGGCAAGCGCTCTCACCACTGCGCCACCTCTGGTACCCTAAAGAACTGGGTATCTTTATTCTGTTACGATTGTCCCTTTTAATAAAACTATTTTCTAACTGTTCATTATGTCTTTACTAGATGTAAGAAATGCAACCGGTGCAAGGTAGGTCACCTGGAGTGCTTAATAGTGCATTAATAGCGCATGGAATTCCAATTGTAATAAATAGAAGAAAACAAAGGCCAGGTAGTTTTATGTTGCGTTGTGGCTAGAGCGCTATAGCCTGTGTCCCAGCCGCCCTGGCTACTGGAGCACATGCAATCCAAAAAATGTCTGGAAATTCAAGTGTGAATTGATATTACTATACCACTGCAAAATACCTCCAGGTTAGCCGGGGCTGGGGGTAGTCACATGTTGTAGTGATTGGGAGGTCCAAGACAGAGTTTAATTTCTTTAACATAATCTGAGCACTTCTCATTTATGTTAAACGATTGAATCAGTCGCATTTACAAAGTGTAAACTACAAGTGAATGACAAGGAGACTTCAGTCCATACTGAGAAATAGGACTTTTTGGATTGCTTCCGAAGCTGTTGGACTTTTTTGTGGTATACTTTTTGTGGTGTACTTTAAAACTATACAATACAATGCAATACAATGCAATACAAATTTTATTGTTAAATCCCCATGGGGGTAGGTTTTCAGAGACAATGATAAAGATAATTAAAAAAAAAAATACTCAAAGATTATCGATAAATTTCCCCTTATTCGTAACCGTTTCCGCCAATATTACGCCTGCGTGCTACCCCCAGTGTAAGAGCACTCTATGCGTTCTGTGTTTTCTCGTATGCTTTTTTTTTTTTTTTTTTT